AAACACTTAATAATATTGAAATAAACTCAAACGAAATTTTAGATATCGTGAAAATTTTAAATCCTACTCAACGGAAACTGGCTAATGTTATTCCAGTCTTTAAAAATGGAGATCCTTCAATTCCCTCTAACTATCGTCCGATTTCACTTATCAGTTGTGTAGGTAAAGTCATGGAAAGGGTTATTTATAAACGGGTTTATAATCTTATGGTTGAACATGGCCTATTTTACCTTTACCAGTCTGGATTTTTGGCAAAACATTCAACTACACATCATCTCTTGGAAATTTATAATTCGATTTTAAATGCACTTGAAAAAAAGGAAGATACTTGCTCTGTTTTTGCCGATTTTTCAAAAGCATTTGATAAAGTATGGCATAAGGGCCTGCTTCTCAAATTAAAAGCCTATGGAATATCTGGTAATTCATTAAAATGGTTCTCCAGCTATTTAGAAAACCGAGAGCAGAAGGTTATCAATAAAAACAGTGCGTCTTCTGTGGGTAAAGTGTCTGCAGGGGTTTCCCAGGGTTCAGTTTTAGGGCCCCTTTTATTTTTGATATACATAAATGATAATAGCGTAAATTTAACGTCGCTCTGTAGATTATTTGCGGATGATACCTCCTTTGGTTATTTTAGTAGAAATCCAGTCTTAATACAAGAACATAATTCAAATGATTTAACTCCACTAAATAACTGGTCAAAAACCTGGTTAATGTCTTTTAATCCAAAAAAAAAACAAACAGAAATTTATATCTCACAAACAGACAACGACCAGATGACCTATCATTTCGATTAGAACCAACAAAAATTCATATTTTCCCATACTATAAGATAATGGAATAAAATCGATAGCGCAATTAGAAATGTAGATTCAATCTCCAAATTTAAGTATTCTCTACGAAAGAATAGATTCAATATAATTAATTATCAAAGCTGTCGGTCCGGCAGTCTGACTAAAGACAGATTTTTGTTTGTTCTAGACATATTTCATTTTTTCTTTGAATGTCCGCTTTATGCACAAATCAGAATTCACCTTTTAGACAAAGTACTTTTTGTCCCGTCTTTAGATCTTGGTACTTTACTAAATGGAAACGAAAATTTAACTCTCAGTCAAAATACATTTTTAATTAAAGAAGTCTTACATTTTATTCGGAAAAGTGAACGTTTTGACCTTTAGAAAGATATTTTTCTCTTTCTTTTTCTTTTTTTTAACTGATATAGTTAAGAATGTCAATGAATAAGCTTTTTTACGTAGGACTGTTGTTTATCTTTTTGGGAAATTGTGAACTTTCTTCTTGTACTTATAACTATTGTACAAATCTATAATTATCTAATGTTGTTGTTGCATGTCTTTATATTTATATATTATAACTTATTATATTTAGGAGAGGACTATCTAAGTTGTGATAACTTGTGTCTGATCCTTTTTGTTATATGTAATAACAAATAAAATATGTTTAAATGAGTGCTTCGAACGCATGAAAATTAGAGAGTGTTGTTTTTATTTTTTTAATTAGATATTCCATTCAATTCCAATGTTATTGAATTTTTTTTTTTTTTTTTTTTTTTTTTTTTATTTTTTTTTTTTTTTTTAAGGGAGGGAGGTCCTTTAGAAGAATATATGGGTTTATAGGTTTATATTGATATTTCTGATTTTTTTACTTCTTTTGCTTAGTTTTCTTGTTCATATGTTTTTCGTGATTACTAGTATGCCCCCGTCACACTAGACCACGATCGCACCACGCTCAGCGCGATCTAAAAAAAAATCAGATCGTGGTGAGGTCGCGGTATGAGCGGCATGAAAATGTAAATTTTCGTTGTTTTCACGATGCTACTATGTCCTCATTACGCTTCTACAAAGATCCCGCTACGATTATACCACGTTCTCACCACGCTTATTCTGCGACCTCACTACGATTATCACGATCTTACTACGCTCATCACATTCTCATTACGACCATACCACGATTTATCCGATTGCAACACGATCTTACCACGCTTCTACTGCGATTATAGCACGCTCTTACCACGATCATACTACGATCATACCACGTTCATACTGCGATGGCAAGTTTAAGACCAGGCGACAGGGCTCTTCTAAATAGGGTATCAGTCTTCTTGATTCTTGGACCAACTCTGTTAAGAAGTTCATCGAACATCTCTGGTGGCATTCTCGAAAAATTAAAGAAGGAAGGTTCATCCTCGATTCGTTACTCGTTCATCAACTGATCATAATGACCAAACTGGAGTCTCCTTTCGGTTGATAACCAAGGACGAACCCAGCAGGACCTACGCCGTCTAAAATTTCTTCTTATTCTTCTTCTTCTCTCTCTCAATAACAATATCATGGCCTGGTCGTTAAGATTTTGTAACTGTGTTAATGATTGTAGAAGAATTACTACATGTACATGGTCTTGTGTTTCCATGGTTCAATTGAAATTGATGTTTCAAACAAAACCTGGAGAGCTTTTATATATTTTATGTGACAATGACAATGAGCATGACTAGAACTCGAAATGGTCGTAGTATGAACGTAGTCAGGTCGTAAGAAGAGCGTGATGAGGACGGCATGAGCGTGCTAGAATCGTACTATGGTCTTGAACAGCGTAATATAAACGTGGTATAGTCGAAGTAGAAGCGTGGTTGGGTCGCGGTAGAAACGTGATGGTCGTAGTGAGGTCGTAGTGACGTCGCTGTGAGATCGTTGCGCAGTATCTCCGACTAGAATCGCGCTTTCGCTACGCTCTCGCTACGATGGTACAGCGACCTTTGCGATCATACCACGACTTTACTGCGCTCTCACTACGCTTCTAATACGACCTGATTTCGCCACGACCGCACCACGATTGTTTTGAACATGTTCAAAGTTGGTCCACGCTCATCACGATCATGAAGACCTCACCACGACCGTACCACGACCTTACTGCGATCTACACGATCGCACTACGATCGTCAAAATTTGCATTTTTTTCAGAGATCGTAGTGCGATCATGGCCTAGTGTGACGGGGGTATAACTGTTATCAAATAAAATAAAATATTATTGATTAAAAAAACAAAGACAGCATGAAATGAAATTGAAAAGTTTGTGAGTCCCTGTACTCGGTTCTGAACCCGTTTTAAAAGGGACCACGTGATTAATCAGTTATCGTAATATTGCAAAGTAATAATAAAAATGTTTTCAGAACAGAAAGTTATCATTAAATTGAAAAGGGTTAAATTTGATTAACATAGTAATAGGTTTTTGGGACTTATTAAGAATGTATAATATTGTCCATCGCTAAATTAGTTACAAACTAGAAAAAGTCAGTTTTAAGCCCAAGAATGTCTTCTTTTTTATTCACATTTCTTTTAAAAAAAAACCGTTTTAAATGCTGCCCTCGAAAAAAACACGGACAACATAAAACACTGAATTGTAGGTGAATTACAAGGAAATTGAGCGTAGTGTGTGCTCAAAACATGTATAGCATTCAGAATAAGATGAAGAGTCACGAATAAAACTATTATAGTCGCGAAATAGCAGTAAACTGATCTGATCGCATGCAATTTCACTCGAAATAACCTGATCTACACTCGAAATAACCTGATCTACACTCGAAAAAAGTGGACCGGTTCACTCGAAAAAAACACGATCTCAGCCGGACACTGTACCTACCGTGAGGATATAGATTGTTATCAAAACATAACAACGATTGTGTACAGAACGTAAACAACTATAGAAATAACATAAAGTTGGTAATAAATAATTGGCAGCATTTGCTTTATAAGATCTTTGATCTAGACAAACTAACAGTCGTTGTTGGTTGCTATCTGTCACATTTATATTTCGTTTAATGTTTTGTCATAAATCAGGCCGTTGGTTTTTCGTTTGAATTGTTTTGCAGCTTATCATATTGGGTCCTTTTATAGCTAACTTTACGGTATGGGTTTTGCTCATTGTTAAAGGCTTTATTGTGACCTACAGTTGCTTAAATCTACGTCATTTGGATTCTGTGGGATAGTTGTCTCATTACCAATCATACCATATCTCCATATTTTATAATTATAGATTATTCACTGAGGTCTATACATAACAAATAAATCCATCGACAAAAACATATTCTTTAATTGTCATATGATTCAGTAAATGTCCAAATTGACATGTTTATAGAATGTTTCTATTGGTCAGTGTAAGACAAGAGTGTATTTGCCGTATTAACCTTTATGGATAATTTTATTTCTTCCGCAATGTTCACAAATACCTTTGCTGTTTTAAGATGTAAAGAAGTGATTATGGAAAAAAAACAATTCGATTGGTCTTTTTCAAGTGAGTGACACGGACTTCAAAGACAAAGAGATGTGGAAACTATAAGATGTTATAGATAATTTTATTAAGTGGGACTTAAATATATGTCAACATAGCTGACATCGTAAATCAACTCCTTAAAATGTTATTGCCCTCAAATAACATGTTTTTTTTCAAAATAAGATTTAGTATGATTACAAATGAGACGACTATCCACCTGTTTCCGAATGGCGTGAATGTAATCAATTATAGCTGACAGTTGGGCCTTTAAAAATGAGTCAAACTAATATCGTTTATAGTCAGCTATTATAAACCCCGACATGACATAATGTGAAACAATTCAAACAAGAATACCAACGGCCTAAATGATAACAAAACAATAAAAAATATGAATGGGTTGTTTATGTTCTAAATATTGGGAGACACGAACTTCAAATGAAAAATTAACGTTTAATTCATAATTGTTATCTTAAAAAATAAACTTGCATTTTACCCCTATGTTCTATTTTTTGTCATGTCAGCCATGTCGGTTGGCACGTGGGGTCATCAGACACATTTTTTAAACTAGATACCCCAATGATGAGTGTGGCAATGCTTGGTTTAATTTGGCCTGCTAGTTTCAAAAGAGATATTCTTTGTACAAGTTAACGGACGACGGACGGACGCCAAGTGATGACAAAAAAAGTGGATACACAGTCATGTAAATTTCGCAAACTTACATTCCTTTGCTCCATGGCGTCGTATCATCATTCCACTCTACTGCTGCTAATTTATAGCCATCAAGTTTGGCGAATGCATAAATAAGATGTGTACACAGTTTGACGTCAATATCTTCTGGCACAAAACGAGCAATTCCTTTTCGGTACTGTGACCAGTTTGTATAATAACACACTCGTAAATATCCATGGCAACTCAGAATATTAATCACTAAATATACAATACCTGCAAAGAGTCACATGAAAAACATTATGATTTTTTAAATATTTTTAACATGACCAGCACGACAAGAAATAACTGAGTAAAACTCATATCGCTTCAGAAACAGGCTTCGCTACAGCACATGCCTACTTGTAATAAATAAATAGTCCTCATTCTTGAAAAAAATACGACGCATCAGAATTTATTTTAGAACAAGCAATTTATTTCAAGAAAATGAAAATAGAAGTTCGCACATGAAACACTTCATTATACTTTATATTGTCTGAAATAATACTACACTTTATATTGTCTGAAATAATACTACACTTTATATTGTCTGAAATAATACTACACTTTATATTGTCTGAAATAATACTACACTTTATATTGTCTGAAATAATACTACACTTTATATTGTCTGAAATAATACTACACTTTATATTGCGTGATTTATGCATAGTTTTCATACATTTCACTAGCTAGCTTACAATTTAAAACTGATCATTTGTAGGAAAGTGAAATTTACGTGGAAAAAAAACTGTATTCTTTGAAAGTTGTGTTTTTTCTTCTTTTTTGGTCGCTTCTCGGGCTACCAGATAAAGTTGATCAGTAAGACCCTGTGCCATGTGTAGTTTGTTGTCCTCACTTCTTATTATTTAGTTTGGATTATTCTAGGAATATGGGATAGTTTAAAAAGAAGAAGAAAATGATTTTCAGACGTTTTGAATTTATGTCAATAATAGAACCAACACAAGCATGCGCGCAAAACTTCCATGAAACAAGATTGGTCTAAAAACCCACAAAATTTTAAACAGCGTACTATAATGTTTTTCAATGAAAATAGAAGTGATCTTAAGATAGCAAAATTGAGTCCATAACAAACCAAATTACGCTGTTGAACGTGATAAAAAAATAGTTTCAATTACTATTTTCAGCGTTAGTAATTACTTAATTTACTTCATCAATGGACCTTCCAGCCTAATTTACAGAGGAGAGAAGATACGAATAAAGTGTCGTGTATTTTTTAAGTACGGTACATGCATAAATGGTCAGCTTTGTCTGTGTAGAACCAAAATGGTCGGAATAAATTTCTGCAAACAATCGAGCAATTATTTGCAAACTCGATCCATTTAGCAAGGATGAAACTCATATCTATTGTTATACAGATATGAGAAGTGTTATAAATATTTCCATGTTCGCAATTATCTCAAAAACTCACATTATATTACATTCGCCCCTTTGGTCCATAAAACAAGAAGACATCGGACATTTATATAGGTGTGTGTTGCTCTGAATGAAAATCCACAAACATTAAAATGCTTCATATATAAACCTACTACAATTCAACGGAATTCGTTTATCTATACACCTACATATCATAAAGAATTACATGGGGGTTTACACACGACAGTACAGAACTAACATATGCAAAGATTATTCGTACCAACTAAATTTAGAGCTTAAAACATTTAACTTAATTAAAAAAACTTGAAGTTAAGACAATAAGTTTGTGATTGTTAATTTTCCACACCAAATATCCAACACATTTAAATCAAGAGTTAAATTATCATGAACATTTTAAAACAAAAGAGGAATGTTAAACACGATTCAATGGCAAAATAGAGAGACGAAAGATACCAAAGGGGCGATCAAACTCATCAGTCGAAAACAAACTGACAACGCCATCGCAAAAAAAGATAAACGACCAAAAGACAAACAACAGTATACAAAACACAATATAAAAAACTAAAAACAACGTGAAAAAAACCCCGCCAAAAACCGAGGTGTTACAGATCTAGCTCCACGTGTGGTACCCGTCGTGTTGCTAATTTTTACTCGTGGTAAGTTTTATTCGTTCGGTCATATTCGAGGAAAAGAGGACGGAATTCGGATACAACAATTGGAACATATCTTTCGTCATATGTAAACAGATATTCCATAACGGTCAACTAACTCGTGGTGGCGTCCGTAAATTTTTCGAAGGGATGATTTCAATTTCACCACTTGGAACTCATGGTTAAATAGCTTCCTAGTGAACCGCAGCTCACCTTAGAGGCAATCATGAACTGAAATACAAGTTGTAAAATATCGTATCAATTGGGAGATATATACTTCACATGCAGGCGATGCTGGAATGTTGCTACATAGAAATGGAAAGTTCACAATTTTGAAGCTTAAATTATCTCTGTTGTCGTAAAGTTTTGTTCTCAACCGACCCTCATTGTCAATTTCCAGATGTAAGTCAAGATATGAGGCAGACTTAACTGTATAAGTTAAGTCTCGGAAAAGAGAGGTTGGTTCCCATGGGAATGCTGATTGTTTTTTTAAGAACATGTCTTCCAAACTTAACGGATATGGTGTCAATCAAGTAATCAACCATCTTGATAGTGTCAGGTTCAGGGAATTTTGTCTGATTTTTTTACAAAGTACTATTTATCCCCCCTTATGACAAGATACTTCTATCTACGTTGGCCATTGTTTTTATGAAACAACGCATCACCAATTCGTTCAATTTTTCTTTTCGTTTGAAATGGGAAATACGTGTGTAAAGGGTAGAAAAGTCAAATGTTTTAATACTATTGCAAGAGGAAAGAGACTTGAATTGTATGTACTCTAACATATCTTTTGAATTTGTTAGTATCCACATCTGATTCACATCGCCCCTAAAGCCTTTTATCGTGTTGTTTGACTTATATACCTTTATCGTGTTGCTTAATCTATTACCCTTTATCGTGTTTCTTAATCTTTAACTCTTTGTAGTGGTGCTTAACCTATAAAATTTTATCGTGTTGCTTGACCGTTAACTCTTTATTGTGTTGCTTGACCAATAACCGCTTACGTGTTGCGTGGCCTATAACCCTTTATCGTGTTGCTTGAACTATTACCTTATATTGTGTTTCTTGACCTATTACCCTTTATCGTGTTGCTTTACCTTTAACACTTTATAGTGTTTCTTGAACTATAAGCCTGTATCGTTTTGCTTGACCTATAAAACTTAAACGAGTTGCTTGTTTTAGAAGATCATCCGTCGTCAGCATGATTCCAATAAATGTATTGCACAGGAGTCAAGTTTTCAATGTTTCGATATCAATTAAATGGTGTTTACAAAGGTAAGCTGTACAACAATCGAAACGATTCAAGTAATGATGTACAAATGGTCGCATGGTATCATTTTTCGAGCATTTTTTTTAAAACATTTTGCACTTCAACAAAGCTTATGGTTCTCAGTTCGACTTTTTTATCGTTAAATTTTATTCATATAATGCAAGATTCATGATAACCTAAAGATGTATACTGTTGTAAACTTGTTTTGTTGTATCACCGCCTCACTCAATATGTCTTTTTATTCATATGCTACTTTTCCTAACACAAAATGGCGTCAGTTCAATGAAATAAAGTGTCACATCGTATTATTCTATCATTTTTGCCCATAATATTTTGTATTCTTCGAAGGGATATAAATAATAGTAGTTGGATCAAAACATATTCAAGTCTGTTTTTATAAATATTCAAACCAGCGTACAGATTGTATCATGAAGATCATTAATATCTAAATATTACAAAATACTCACACACATAAATTAACTTATAATCCATTTTACTGAATACGCAACTACACCATCTTCATTTTAAATTAAGAAATATGAAAAACATATCCATTGTTACTACCATGATAAACAAGTAAATGTTGTACTACTGGAATGGGACAATAAAACAATGTTATAGTACTCTGTGTGTCAGGTTTATTTCTGACATTAAGTGTGATGTATACCTTCACTAAACTGGACCGTCTTATTTAAGAGTCTAAAAAAACAAGCATTTGTGGTTATTGGTTAAAACGGTAACTTATTCGACACGAAAATGTTATGTTTTAACTTTATTGTTTTGTACAAAACATGTTAAACTGAGAACAAAATCAACATTTTTCCCACAGTGTTACATTCTGACTTGAAACGGGCAATTATCATAGGAAAGTGTTGATAAAAACTTTAACTCGAAATATAGTGTTTCAACTTTAGATAACTGTTTCTATCAGTCATATTGTTTTCCAATCAGTGAAAAAACAAGCAGAGTTTGAGTTCAAACTCGGAAGTTCTCTAACATGAAATTATAAATTATTCAATATTCAAGGACGTGCGTTTTACAGAGAGTCAAATAGTAGACAATCATACCATAACCACATCTCAGCTTACGATTTCTTCAGAACATTTCCCTGAAATTACTATGTATTGCCTGCCTAAACAAATCGTCAAATATCGTAACAAATGCTAGATGCACATACAATGTACTGGAAATGTGATGAGATGATTAAAACTGCTGATGTTCTCCGTGACAACATCTATGTAAATTTTTGAAATAATGTTTCCAGACCGGTTGTATGTATTTCTATGGGCATCATTATTATGTCCCTTTAATAGCAGAATTGTTCCTGTATCGTCGAATTAACGTTTTTTTTTTGGCCAAACATCGCAAAGATCCGTCTGAATTCCTTTAAACAGAATAAAATAACATCTTCCGTTACCTTGATGATATTTTTGCTTTAAATCATCAAAAATTCTATTATTATTCTACGGAAATGTACTTAAGAGAACTGACTTAAATTAAATCTAAATAAAGTGTTCATTTTAATGATTTGAACATTTCAGTTTCACATTGGATACTTTATATAAAAATAAGGAGATGTGGTATGATTGCCAATAAGATAACTATCCACCAAAGTTCAAATAAAGTGGATGTAAGCAATTAAAGGCAACCGTGCGACCTTCAACAATGAGAAAAACCCACATCATATAGTCGGCTATAAAAGGACCCGATAAGAAACAATCCAATTGAGAAAACTAACAACCTAATTCATAACAAAATAGTTTACGAAAAACAATTATACATATTTTCTATATTAAACCTATTTCCTAAAAATAAAACACACAATAAAAACCTGCACAGTGCAGCTAATAACAAGATGACCACTAACTTCAAAAAGGAAATAGAACAAAGCAAAAAAAAATGGAATATAGGACCTGGGTCAAAATATGCTCGTCATAACAAGAAACTAGCTTAGGACGCTACAGATGTATGTTGGATAATAAGCTAATACATTTGTGCGGACCAGTAAAATCGTTAAATCATAAAAAACTGTTACAGTGAGTAGTAGAAAAACGGCTGTGCTGTTTAAAAGATGCAAGACATTTCCCAGGTTCAAATATTTTCATTTGTTCAATAAACATGATAAAATGTAGGATAAGAAATATCGTCTAATATTACTTCTCTACGTGAAACATTGTAGCAACATATAATTGTGAACTACTTAAAATCATTTGAAAGTATTCAAAAGTCTGTATGTCTGTCACTCTGGCGTTTGTGTCAATGCAAAGTTACACTCATTAAAGTCAGCTTCATTAGAACATGTTGGTCTTTTGGTCATTTAATCATGGGGAGGATATGTACAGTAAATTTGGTCCGGTAGTAAAATTTGTCCGCCAGACTTTTTTTCCTAGTTAATCAAGTCCATGATCATTCTTTTACTAGGAATGTAAGTCCCAGGACAAATTTTCCTAGGAAAATAAGTCCATCGCTAGTAAAATATGTCTGGCACTTATTTTCCTAAGAAAAATTAAACTGATTGAAAGATTATGTCTTCATCATATGAATATCAGGCACAATCCCTCCTGTTAGGGGTTTAGTATTATACCATCATAAAATATATGAGAAGAACATAACCCGTGTCATGCCAACAACTGGTTTTAGAATAAATATGTTTAATTCCGATGCAAAGACCCTATAAGTGAATCAATATTAAAGCCAAAATATGCAATATTTAATGACCTGACAACAGTATCGTAACTATATCCCTTCTTAATAAGTCTGTTTAAAGGTTTTGTTAGCTTATGAGGTGAATACTGAAATTTTTGTGCTTTGTAAAGAATATTACATAAAAGATTGGATGTGAAATACCCGAACGTATAAGATGTCTGCATGTTGAGTTATATTTACGAATGATGTCCTTATACCGATGATAAAATTTAGTAAATGTTTTGACTAGTTTATGATATCGAAAACCCTGGTGTAATAATTTTTCAGTAATATATAAATTTCTCTCGCTAAAATCTAATACGTTGTTACATACACGGGCGAATCGTACAAGTTGAGATATATAAACACCATAAGATGGTGACAAGGGAACGTCACCATCTAAAAAGGGATAATTAACGATAGGAAATGAAAAATCATCTCTTTTATCATAAATTTTTGTATTAAGCTTCCCGTTAATGATATAGATATCAAGATCGAGGAAAGGACAGTGGTCATTGTTAGTATTAGCTTTATTTAAAGTAAGTTCAACAGGATAAATTTCTTTAGTATACATACTGAAGTCGTCATCATTGAGAGCCAATATATCATCCAAATATCTAAAAGTATTGTTAAATTTTTGTATCAGATGTTGTTTCGATGGGTGTTCACTGATTTTAGTCATACATTGTAACTCATAACAATACAAAACAGGTCCGCAATAAGTGGTGCACAGTTAGTTCCCATTGGAATTCCGATAACTTGACGATATACGGAATCTCAAAAGCGAACAAAAATGTTATCAAGTAAAAAATCAAGGGCAGATATAGTATCAAAGCATGTCCAATTGACATAGCTCTTTTGTTTGTTGCTACTAAAAAATGACCTAAAAGAGTTTGAACATATGTATTCGCATTCCGACTTTTTAAATGCCCATTTAATTAGGTGTGTGAATTTTTTCTTAATAAGAAACATATTTTCTGAAAGTTTCTTTTTTCCCCCTACTAAAATATAGGACATGGACGTTATAACCTAGGCATGTTAATGACATGGACATGATGTCCTAGGAAAATTAGTCTGGGGACATAAATTTCATTGAAATATTAATACACAACTCTAAAACAATATTAAAACATAACATTTACATTTACCTTTTAAAATAAAGGGCATGGACGTTTTTACTTAGGAATATTAATGACATGGATATGATTTCCTTGGAAAATTAGTCTGGGTACATGAATTTTATTAAAATATTAATGCACAACTCTTTAACAATATTAAAACATTAAAATTGAAATTCCATTGTTTACATGTAAATAATTTGTTTTATTAGAATTTTCCTTTTGAAATAAAGGACATGGACGTTTTTACCTAGGAATATTCATGACATGGACATGATTTCCTAGAAAAATTAGTCTGGGGACATAAATTTTATTAAAAAAATTAAATTTTATTAAAAAAATTGATACACAACTCTTAAACAATATTAAAACATAACATTTATATTTACAATAAAGGGCATGGAGTTTTTACCTAGGAATAATAATGACATGGACTTGAATTCCTGGGAAAATTAGTCTGGGGACATACATTACTAACATCGGACTAAAAATACTAGAAAATTCTGTAACCATGGACTTTTTATTCTATTAATATGTGTTCGCCCGGACATATTTTACCAGGACACATTTATCTCTTACAAATGCTCCCAGTACAAATAACATTGATGGGCCATCAAGTTTAGATCAGGGAGAGAATTCATGTTTTGATGAAGGACATGATGTGGAAACTGCAAATGTTGAAGCCAATGGCACAGATGTAGGGGTGAGGCCTTCTGCCTCTTCACCATCTGAACGCACATCTAGGTACGGAAGACCGATAAGGTGTCCAACCATGGGTAATTTTTCGAGTGTACATATGTATATACCTTTTATATGATCTTAATTTGAGTCAAATGAGTCTATTCGTTGTTTATCTCATCATTGATATCTCATTGATAATATCTCATTTGATTTCCTTTCATTCCAGGATGGAAGAGGGCTCGCGTTCAGACAAGGACGTATTGCCACCAAGTCCACACAGTGAATGGTAGGATACAGGGTCAGACTACAGATCTTGATGTGGCTGATTTGATGGTGCTTGACGAAGTGGGTTCAGATGATGAAGTAGGTCCAGGAGATCGTGACATAGCTGCTGGTGTATCTCCTGGGGCCCTAGGCCCTGTTGAGACACACAGCAGTGTTAAAACAGGTATGTTAGAGTCTAGTGGTTGTATGTGCCAAGGTGGGACAAATGAGGACCAGACAGGAGAAAGTAGAGCGGTAGTGGTCTCCAAAAACAGATTACGGCAGTGTCCAATATGTGGGATGGTATCAAGGGAAAAGACACGGCTTCTTATCCTGAAGAAAAACCTTCCCTGGTTTTGGTCTGGTTCCACTGCCTGTTGTGACTGCTGTCAGCAGGAAATTCAGGCATCTTCCCTAGCACGGAGACACACAGAGGAACATCGGATTGGTTGTTCCTTCTAAGAACATCTTCATTTGTGGTGTCAGCTGGTGAGTGGGTCTCTTCATCTTGTCAATTCTTGGTTTCCTTGTGCAGATCTTGAAGGGCTGTTGCAGAACGTGTACTTGACCGTCAATTACATGAAGCAGTCACCAGTGGATTCAATGATCAGGAGCAACAGTCATTTGTCTTCTACGAACAAAATTATAGTCTTGACCGTCTAGCACACATCACTGCCAATCCACTTAACCATGTAATCAGCTTGACTAAATGGGAGATCATGACTTGCTCTATTACGACGAGTGGGTCCAGCTCAACAACAGTCTTATGAGGAATTCGTTATTTACGAGGCTGCGTGTATTTTGGACACTGTATCATCACTTCCGGAGCCATTCGTTTTTGTTGATAGCCACTTTTATATTATTTATGGTTTGGACCATCTGTTAGGGAACTATAAGTGCGTAGCAGTTGGCGAAATAGGCCTTGATTTTACTACCCGTTGCTAATGCAAGCGATGTCACACTCCAGAGAAATGTCAGCAGCAAATGAGAGACTGTCAGGAAAAAGCCTTGTTGGAGATGCTTCAGATAACACAACGTCGACAGTTGCCTGTCATCTTGCACTGTCGTGATAGAGGTAATGGTGAAGCAGCAGTCCGTGTATTGACCCTCATTCGCAGTGGTTTTGCCGAGTTACAGTTCCATCGCCATTGTTTTGATGGGCGTGTTGATGAGTTGAGAGAATGGCAAAGCCTTCCTCATGTTGTATTCGGGATATACGGCAATTTCTTTAAAGATATGACAACAAACATCGATGCCATCTCAAGGATCCTACCACACAAGTTTATCCTTGAGTCAGATGCCCCGTTCCTTTCGCCAAGGTCATGTTGTGAGGTGAGCCATCCCTGGAATCTTATAGAAGTAGCTGTGGCAGTGAGTCAGAAACACAACATTCCATTAAATATTCTGAACTGAATGGCTAACGATAATGCCCTTAAATCTTACGGAATCCCAAAGCCACGACACGAGCCAGTTATCTGGGCCCTAGGGAGGCCCCGTTAACAAGTTTTCAATTAAAATAATGGATTTTGTAAATAGTTTTGTTATAACCAGGAAGGTACCGATATTTGTATATGCGTTTCTTTTGATTGTATCATATGGATTACTTTGTGATTTTCACTTGGATTATATAAGATGCTGCGATTAATATATATCCCAAACTATAACTTGCAACAATGAATGGTTATGGGCAGGCGTTCTCGGCAGTATTTTATCTTGTTTTTTAAGTTTATTGTTATAGCTTATGAATGTGATTGGTTGGACGAGTGACGTCACAAGGATTCTCTTCACTTCAGCTTACTGATATAAATCAAATGTATTTTTGCTGTCTTTAACAGTGACAATATACTATTGTTTATTTCAGATGAGTTGTTTCACAATACACCTTCCATAATTACTATCGTATCATAGCGGCACGAAATCACCTAGGAACTTTTGAAAAACTCCCGAGTTGCATGAAAATCATGTAAATATTCTGAACGTGAACTCACAGCAAAGCTTCCGGTAAAAACAATGGCTAATTCCACCGTTCAAAATCGTCTAGGAAAATGTGATTAGGTCAGGATTATTACAGTGCGAAAATGTTGGCCAGTAGTTGATTTTCTTGTGACGTTTTATGAATGGAATATGACAAACAATATCTCAAATGAACGCGATTGTTAGTTTCAATTATTTTTACCGATAACCGCTACGAATTTCACCTGACGGCGACTATACCAAGGAAAGAAAACAACTCCGTATATACTTTTAACGGATATAAGCTCCTTTTATGCAGTTATACTGCTATATTTATTGATGACTGTTTAATTCATTTAGGGAACGACCATCTAATTCTGAGAAGGTATATTTTTTTTCTAAATAAATATTCTGATTCACAACTTTAAAGAAAAATAATATTTATGCCCCCGCCGTAGCTGAGGGAGCATTAAGTTTTACCCTTGTCCGTTTGTACGTCCGTACGTACGTCCCATAGTTGGTTTCCGTTCTATAACTTTAGTTTGCCTCAACCAAATGTTATGAAACTTATACACAATGCTTATTACCACAAAACACAGATCAAGTTTGAATATTG